AAAACATTAAATATTCTAAATATCCACCAGCAGTAATCTATTTCTGCAAATGTTGATACATGAATATGCCCATTAAAAGTTATGATGTGAGACATGTAAAAATATATAATCTTAAATGATAAAACTATATAATATACAATATCAAATATAAAAAATAGGTACATGGCAATAAAGACAAGAACACACAAAATTGACAGTACTTATAAAAGGTGATGGTTTCATAAATGGTAGTCCCACAGTCTTTCTCTCAATTTTTCTTTATTACTGTTTTAGTGTATTTTTAATTTAAAATATTAATATTTCCTCATCCCAGTGATACAGTAGCAAAAACATAAGGGGGTAGCATGTGGTGTATGGACCACAGAGTGATTTATAATACCAAAATATTGAAAACAACTCAAATATCCATCAATAAGAACTGATCAAACAATAGTATATGCATTCACACAATGAAGCATTATAACTGTAAAAAGAAATTTCTTTAAAAGCTCTATGTTCTACTACAGCGTGATAACCAAGATATTTTATTTAGTAAATAAAGTAAGCTCTAAAACAGTATAAATAATAAACTTTATTTTATGTAAGAAGGATGGAGATACAAATAAATATGTATATAAATGTATATATATGTTGGTGGAGGGTATATAAGTAAAAGTAGAGAAAATGTATTTTTTCTCACATTTTCAAATAGAAACACTGAAAAAAAAACAAACACTAATAAAATGGTGACTTATAGGGAAATATAAGGAATGGGGAGGGGCTAAGTTGGAAGCAAATGTCTCAATATGCTTTGTTATATAGCTGTGGTATCATGTAAATGTTTTATATATTCATGCAAAATTAACTCAAAAGTGGATTGGAGTCAATAAGGAAAGAACGATCTTTTCAGCAAATGGTGCCGAGACAACTGGGTATTCACATGCAAAAGGCCTAAATATGAGAACAAAGATGATAAAACTCGTAGAAGGAAACAAGTGAAAATTTCCATAACCTTTGATTAAGCAACAGCTTCTTAAACATGACACCAAAAGCACAAGTAACAAAGAAAAAGTTGGTAAGATGGACTTCATCAAAATTAAAAAAATTTTTGTGCCTCAAAAGACACCATCAAGAAAATAGAGGCGTCTATGGCCATGCCACCCTGAACAAGCCCAATCCCGTCTGATCTTGGAAGCTAAGCAGGGTCGGGCCCGGTTAGTACTTGGATGGGAGACCACCTAGGAAGACCAGGTACTGTAGGCGTAAAAAAATGAAGAATAAGGATTGCAAGCTGACAAGGTCCTTGCAATCTGTGAGTTCAACCAAGGACTGCCTTGCCTAAAAAGAAAAACAAAAACAGAGGAACACCTATAGAATGCGAGGAAGTATTTGCAAATCCTACATCTGATAAGGGTCTCGTACAAAGAATATGTAACAAACAATAAAGATGACTGAATTTAAAAACAGGCAAAAGATGTGAATATTTGAATAAATTTCTCCAAAGATATATAATGACCAATAAGCACATAAAAAGATGCTCAACATTAGTCACTGAGGAAATGTAAATCAATACTACAATCAGATACCACTTCATACACTGAAAAAAAAATAGATAATAACAAATACTAGCAAGAATGTAGAGAAACTGAAATCCTCATATATTGCTGGTGGAGAATGTAAAATGTTGTAGCTGCCATGGAAGTTGGTCAGTTCCTCAAAAAGTTAAATATGAGGTTACCATATGACCTGGGGTATATATCTAAGATAGTTTAAATTATATGTTCACACAAAAATTGTAAATGAATATTTATAGCAGAATTATTCATAACAAAAAGTGTAAAAAACTCAAACATCAATCATCTGATGATTCTATAAGACAAAGCCTGACATATTTCAGGTTTCAGCCTTCATCTGAGGTCCATGGAGTTACATGGATTCTCCTGAAATTATATGCAATATTTAGTATTTATCTGCTATGTGCATTTCTCTGGTAAGAGGGTCCTTAGCTCTCATAATATTCTCAGATAAATCTGAAATTCACAAAAATATTAAGCAATACTGGTACAACGTAAGCACTGTTTTAACAAGTTTACAAAAATACATAATTGATTAAGTTTGGCATAATCCAGTACTCTAAGAAACATGCCCAACAGCATTATAAAGGAAATAACACATGTACCACTACATAAGGTTTGATTCAAACTAATGGATTCTTCAATTTGTAGAAGCACAAAGATTTAAAAGACTAATTTAAATTCAGCATCTGTTGCTTACTTGAATGGCTAATGTTTCTTGCTGCTGACGGGCTTCTTCTTGGACCTTCTCTAGTGCTGCAGAAAGTTCTTCTTTAGCTTTCATTTCACGACTTAGAGCAGCTTCCTGTGCCTCACTATCCTTTGCAGCATTGGCTTTGTGGAGATCAGTAAGTTCTCTTAAAAAATTAGATGGATAAGTTTATTTAAAATAATATACAGTGAACTACATGGCCAAGGTTATGAAATTTCCATGACTTCCATGATATCCAAAATGAGGAAGAGTTCACCACATAATAAACACTGACTGCAGTGAGGACTATCCCTGCTGAATAGTTAGAAGTTCATATACAGCTAAGTTTATAAGCGTTGTTAGTGATAACAGAAAAAGGGTTTTTTTCAACATTTGCTCTGTTAATTGATATTAAATGAGTTGGATATTTACTCATTTTCTTACTTGTATGCACTATCAAGAGCAGCCTGAATACTTCTGTTCTTTTCTTCAAGTTCATCTACGTCTACTTGAAGTCGGCCAAGATCCTTCTCTTGGCGTTCAACCACAGAATTCAGTTTTTTAATATTTTCTCTATGTTGTTTCTCGACCTCTTCTTTGCCATCAAGGACCTATATCATTAAACGGATTGAAGTATTTTTCAATAAATAAGGTCTTGATAAATAACTGTATTCCAAGAATCCAAGTGTTATAATAACAAAGAAAAATCTTAGCATTCATTTATTAAATTGTTGGGAAAATCCTTTCAAAATTATATACCCCAATAAATCATTTAAAATGTTTTATAAACCATAGCCAACTCTTCATATACCAAGTAATAACAATATATATGTAGAGAATGACTAATATTCACCTGTTTTAAATGTTGTAACTCTTCTTCTAGCTCTTTAACTTTTTTGTTCAGCTTTGCAATAACATTTTCATTTTCTTTGTCTTTAGCTCTTAATTTCTTAATGATGTTAGAACTATGCAGCTGCTGTTTTGAAAGTTTTTCTCCTGGCAATGGCAAAAAATATATAAATTCAAATAATAACGATTCCCTAAGAATTCAAACAGAATGTTTTATCTAACCAGTAATATAAAATGATAGAGTATTTTTAAAATCACAATACTGTAACCACCAATGTTAAAGTGATTTGGACAAGAATCAATGATAAAATTACTAGGTGGAAGGATGGTGGGAAACAGGATATTTATAGTCTTAAAGAATCACTTCCACATATTACTTATTAGTTACAAAAGGGAAAATGTACTTTTACACTGGAAAAATCTGGCAGTCACCACCTTAACCAAACATTCAGTCTTGGCATCACCAATTGTGGTACAGCCTAACACTATGTATCTACTAATGGAATGGTAGGTACACAATATCATATTTATTAGACATGTGATCTGAATCTAATCATGAAGAAAGTGACAAATTCTTGAATGTGGGGTACTCTGAGAATCAACTGGCCTGGACTCTAACAAAGTCTTCAATTTTTTGAAGAAGAGCTAACTATCCTAGATTGGTGGAAAACAAAGAAGACATACTGACCAAATGCAATGAACAGACTTTGACTGGATCTTGGGGCACAACAAATGACCAGCTATAAAGGTATTTTTAGAGATAATTGAAATAAATGATAAAATATATGCTGGAATATACTTCTGAATTAATGCTGATTTTTCTTATGTGTGATTACAATGTGCCTGTGAAGGAAAATGTACTTGCCCTTGGGAGATGCAGACTGAAGAATTTAGGAGTAGACTAAAGATTCAGTGCAATACTATCAAAATTCCAAGGGCATTTTTCACACATACGCAAAGCAAACAAACAAAATATAAATAAATAAAAACAACCCTAAAATTCACGTGGAACCGCAAAAGACTTCAAATGGTAAAAGCAATCCTGAGTAAATACAAAGCCAAAGGTATCACATTTCCTAATTTCAAAACATATTACAAAGCTATAGCCATCAAAAACATATGGTACTGGTATAAAAAGAGATATAGACCAATGGAAAAAAATAAAGAGTTTTGAAATAGATCCACACATTTACAGTCAACGGATCTTCAACAAAGATGCCAAGAACATACAATGGGGAAAAGATAATCTCATTAATAATTAGTACTGGGAAAACTGGATTTCCATATGCAGAAGAGTAAAACTGGATCTCATCATGCACCAAATATAAAAATCATCTGAAACTAGATTAAAGACTTAAATGTTAAGACCTGAAACTTTAAAACTACTAAAATACAGGGGAAAATCTTTTTGACATTGGTCTTGGAGATGATTTTTTGGATATGATCCCAAAAGCACAGGCTACAAAAGTAAAAATAGACAAGTGTAATTACATCAAACTAAAAAACTACTGCACAGCAAAGAAAACAAGAGACAATCTACAGAATTTGTAAGCCATACATCTGATAAGGGATTAATATCCAAAATACATAAAGAACTCATATAACTCAATAGCAAAAAAGTAAATAAATAAGCCAGTTAAAAAATGGGCAAAAGTCACGGTCATTTCTGAAAGGAAGACAAATGGCCAACAGGCATATGAAAAAGTGATCAGCATCACTAATCATCAGGAAAATACAAATCAAAACTACAATGAAATATCCCCTTACAGTTGGTAGGATAGCTATTATCAAAAAGGTAAAAGATAAATATTGGCAAGGATGTGGAGAAGTGCGAACTCTTTTATACTATTATAAAAAAATCACGTTGTACACCTTAAATATATAGTTTTTATTTATTGATTATACCTCAATAAAGCTGAAAAGAAAGATTTTAAGAGTGGAATTTATGACGTCTGTCACTTACTTTCAAAAGGTCTGGCAAAAGGGTAGTACATGTGTGTACTGAAAGATATGGTGGAGGTGTAGCTAGATGTTAACAGTTGATGAATCAAGGTAATGAAGCAATCAATTATTTACTATGATGTGCTTTTGGCTTTGAGTCTTAGCTTTTCAGCTGTGAATTTAAAAATACTTCTGGGGAATATGGAAGCCCTATGTAAACACTTCCATATAAAATCAACATTTTCTCTAAAATGAAGTTCATTAAGCAAAAGAAAACATCAGCCCACCCTGACTAAATTCCAAAATAGTAACATTTGATATTAATACTTTAAATAACTTTTTAAAAAATAGTAAAACCATGCACTTAGCCCTCCCTTAATATTATACACAAGGCAGTTACTGACTTCAAGACATCTTGAGATAAAAATTGTTTTATCAATTTTTCCTTCATTCTTCTATTTTAGTGTTTAGACTGTTTTGTAATTATCTTTGTACTCATATTTCCCTCTCATTAAACTGTTAGCTCCTGAGGGGCGAAAAAAAAATTGGCATAGATGACAAAGGTTCTGTTCATCTCTCTGGAGACCAAATCAAAGTTGTGACAGAAACAAGGAGCAAATAGCAAGGAAAAATTGCCTGGAATCTAGGTGAACAAGCCATACAATTAGGGAGAAACCTTAGAAATCACCCTACAATGGCAGAAGGTAGGATGGGGCGAGGACGTGAGGCTGCCTGGTCCTAAGCGGTTGAATGGGACAGAGGCTGCGCAGTGGTAGCAGCAGACGCCTCTTAAAGGGGCCGCATCCACAAGCGGACTTTCAAGGTGATGGACCTGCTCGCTCTGAGCACCAGTGTCAGTTCGGCTGCGCACTGGGCACTAAGAACTTATAGGACACTCAGGTGTTGAAGTGAGCGCTGAGGCGAGATTCAGAAGTGCCGGCAGTATCCACTGTTCCTCTGTTGAGCCCTCCGCTCTCCCAGTGCACAGACTCATTGCCGCTACAGAGGTTGCTCCACCCAGAGGATTCCCTGAAACTCCGCCTCCCCCAACTTGCTGCCCACCCAAGCCACATCCAGGTATGTCCTTGGGGAATCAAGTGCTCTTTGCTGAGCAGCTCCAAGACTCACACTGGTGGCAGCTGAGTAGCTGAACCCCTCTCAGGGCTGTGCCATTGGACACCTGCTACACAAAGCCATGCTAATAAAACTGGGCGACTTAAGAGCTTTGCTTAGTACATAGAAATAGACACAGAAAGGCAGCCAAAATAGGAAGATAAAGAAGCAGGAACTGTATGAGAAAACAGAACAGGAATAATGGAGTCAAGCAATCTAACAGATGCAGAGTTCAAAACACTGGTTATAAAGATACTCAATGAACTTAGAGGAAATGTAGAAGAATTCAGTGGAACTTTAACAAAGAGATAAAAAACATAAAAATGGAAATGGAAATTATAAAAGGGAACCAGTCAGAAATGAAGAACACATTATCTGAGATGAGAAGCATATTAAATGGAATAAACAAGAGTGAATAAAGGAGAGGATGAAATGACCGATATAGAGGATGGGAAAACCAAGGACACTCAATCAGAATGGCAAGAAAAAAGAAGCCAAGACTATAATAATAATTCGAGGAGCTTGTGGGACACTATTAAATGTAAAAATATCCCTGTCATGGGGGTACCTGAAGGAAAACAAGACCTTGAAGAGGTATTTGAAGAAATAATGAAGGAAAACTTCCCTAACCTAAGCTATTTGAAGAAATAATGAAGGAAATAGACATAAAACATCAAGAAGCTCAGAGAGTCCCAAAAACCAAGAACCCAAAAAGGCCCACACCAAGATGCATCATAATTAAAATGCCAAAGGTTAAGTATAAAGAGAGAATCTTAAAAGCAGCAAGAGAAAAGCAGCTACCTACAGGGAGCACCCATAAGACTGGCAGCTGAGTTCTTAAAAGACACTATGCAGGACAGAAGGACTTCATACAAAATATTCGATGTAATGAAAACCCAGGAGCTACAACCAAGAATACTTTATCCAGCAAAGCTATCATTTAGAGTCGAAAGATAGACAAAGAGCTTCCTAGACAAAAATAAGCTAAGAGAATTTATCATCACCAAGCCAGTATTACAGGAAATGTTGGAGAAACTTCTTTAAGAAGAAAACACATGTATCAAAAACAGGAATAAAGAATGGTAATAACTACATTCCTATGAACAAGTACCTCAAGTGGAAAAGAATTAAGTGCTCCAACCAAAAGACAGAGTGGCCGAATGGATAAAACAAGATCCCTACATGCTGCCTACAAGAGACTCACTGCAGATTAAAAGACACACACAGACTAAAAGGAAGGGGACAGTAAAGATATTGCCTTGATGGACCTAGAGGGTACTGTGCTGAATGAAATGGGTCAGCTAGAGAAAGACAAATATCGCATGATTTCACATACATGTGGAATCTAAAGAACAAAATCAACGACAACAACAAAAGTGGAAATAAACTCGTAGATACAGAGACTACTTAAAGGGACACTAGATGGGAAGAGGGATGAGGTGGACAAAACAAGGTAAAGGAATTAAGAGGTACAAATGGATAGTTGTGGAACAGACATGGAGACGTAGCGTGGGGAAGGTGGTTAATAATGTTGTAATAAATATGTAAGGGGGAAGGGGGTACTAGTTTTAGTGGGGTGATTACTTTGCACGTTATGTGGATCTCTGATCACTATGCTATACAACTGAAACTGGTATATTATTGTATGCCAACTATAACTGAAAAAAAGATCTCACTGAAGTGTACACAAGCAATTAATTTTCTATTATACTTCAATAAAGACAGGGAGAAAAAACCCTGAAAGCTCCTGAAGGACATGGAGTGTGTTGTATTTATTACTGTATCGAACACAATATTTGATATACTAACTGTGAAGTATTAGCTTAATAAATGAAAAAGAAAAATTGGGTAAAACTAATTTTTAAATATAAAGTGATTGTTTCCAATTGTTCTCAAATACTTACTCTGGAAATTCATTTAATGTTCAATGACTTAAGCACAGAAATTTTCAACTCACTATTATTTATAATATTAACATTTTAGAAACAAATGTACAACACAGGAAAACAGTAAGATAAATTACGGTATATCCATATAATGGACTTTAATATAGCCATAAATAATGGTATCAAAGTATTTAATGGCATAGGGAAATGTAAAAGGGAGATTGCAAATTAGATATATGATCTTAATTATGTTTAAAATGTGTTAAAATGCATTATAAAGGGACAAAAAGAAATTAATAGTTTCTTATAAAATTGGATTATGGTTTATTTTTTCTCTCTTCATATACTTCCTATAACTTCAAAACTTACTGCAAGTAGCAAGTATTGTTCTTTTAACTAGAAAAACTTTAAGAAATGAAAAATCAAAATTCACTTAAACTCCTTTTCCAAAACTCTCTTCTTTCATGTATTACATAAACTAATTTTAGTGTCTATTTGTAAGAATTTAAGTCATGAAGAATCTTTAATTTCTATAACTCTTATTATAAACCTTTCCATAGAAAAGTGCTTAATAACTAAAAAATTAAAACATGGATATAATGAAAAATCACTATCAAATGCCAGACGAATACAAAATACCATAGAGTACCCAAACTAGAGACTCAGACACTATAAAAACTCCAGAATTATAACCTTCAAATATCTTGGTTTAAATGACAAGCTCTAAAACCTGTTACAAGCTTTCCTCAGGAAGCATAAACTTCTATTTTTCAGGGAGTTATTTTACCTCCCTAGAAACAATGTTACAGATATATATCTCTGCCTCTATAAATCTTGCTCCCCATTTTTCCATACACTGTCACATACCACTTCTGAAATTTAAGTCCAAACCTTCCTTGCTCCAATATTTTTTTTATTAGGAAGCTACAGCCAGTTATGTTGCAAGTATTTTTCTTGTTTATACAATATTTTTCATAATCAATTAAATACGCACCTTCTTCCATTAACCCTTGGATCTGCTCATCTTTCTCTTTCAGTAGGTCTGCAGTTTCACTGCTATTTAATCTAGTCGCAAGTTCTTCTTTTATACTTTTGATTTCCTAATTTTTAAAAAATGTAAATACCATAAAGAATTACTTTTCATTGAAAAAATTTTTTTCAATTTTTTTTCCATATTCAAAAAAGTCATCAATAATCATATTGTTGATAAGAATCCATAAATTTTGTCCTGTTAAGCCAGATTTATTACCTTGGTTAATTAAGACTAAGGAAATAGCTTTGAAAATGTTATAGAAAACCTGAATTCAGACATAAACAGGTTTTAATATGGAAATGTAAATGAGAATAAGTTACATTTCAATACCCTTCTTGAATATCTCTACATACATTTTCTACAAACATTATATTTGGAACATTTCAAAGAGTACACGTCCCATCTTTCACTGTATGACTTTTCCTCATTAAAATTCACTGCATTTACAAGTGTGTTTGTGAAATGGCAGAAAAACAATTATATAAAGTTTGATCTACTTTAATAAAGCAGAGATTCAGCAGAAACATGTCAAGGAGGTAGTTTACCTTTTAAAACTAATGGAAAAGTATGTGAAGAGTTCTGAGTTAAAATCTGGTTTTAAGAAATGCTCTGAAACTAAACAGGTAAAAAAACTAACATTAGGTATTTAAATCATACTTTAATCCTCACAACATTCCTATGAGGAAGGCACTTGTATCATTCAACTATGTAAATAAGAAAACTAATACTCAGAAAAACTGAGTAAACTTTGAAGGTCAGAGAGCTATTAAAGTGGAGAATTATGACTTGAAACCAGGTCTGTGAATCCCAATGCCCATCCTCTAACCACCCACAACATTGCTATCCACTTTCCAACTATCAAAATTTGATTCAAATATCAAGGTCCAGTAAGACCATCATATCTTCCACAAAACCGTCCTCATTTCCCTGGTCAGAATTCATCCTCTGTGATACCATTCCAAACTGCTCATTCATTTCTATCTATAACTTATTATAGATAAGTACTATATAGTTGCACTATATAGTACATTATAGTTGACAACTAGTACTATATAGTTGACATTGTCTTCTACCACTAGAAAAGCAAATTCATCACTTAAGGTAATTACTAAACTTGGTTGGTTACCAATTTCTGAAATAGCCAACTATTCCAAATTATAAGAATTAGAACAATGGTTCCTAACCAGGAGTAATTTTGCTCCCAAGGAGACATTTAGCAACATCTGGCAACATTTTCAATTAGCACAAGTGATATGTGTGCCGGGCAGGGGGCGCTGGTGATTGGGGTAGAAAATGGGGAAGGGAGGGTGATACTATCATCTTTAGGAAGGGGCCTGGGCTAATAAATACCCTACCATGTACAGGACAGTCCCATACAACATAAAATTATCCAACTCAAAATGTCAATAGTGCTGAGGTTAAGAAATTCTACATTAGAATAAATCAATATTATGCCTCTAAGAGTCACTAACAATTAGAAATTATTTTAAAATTATTTTGACTTGAAGCAGCATATGTAATATGTTTGAAGTGGTAGGAAAATAATAAATGAGAGTAAAGATAAATTTTATTTATATAGTGCCATTTAGATTTAAGTGTTATTTATTTTGATAGGATTATCATTTACAAAAATTATTTTAGGGATCCTTGCTATGTATCTTGCAAGAACTTATACATAAGTTATATAGACAAGTACTTCCTTAATATTTTTTAAAGTATCAAAATTGAAGGCACATCTCAAAAAAAATCTATGTCTCTATGATTTAATATTATTTTAAACTTCCATTACCTTTTTAGCAGCATCTCTCTCTTTGCAGGCTAGCTGAACTTTCTTTTCCGCTTCTGCAATTCTTTGAGTAAACTCATCTTTCAAGGAAGAAATGCTGCTGCTTTCTTCTTTCACTCTGAACATTTCACTAAATTTAAAATAACACCGAAACTGAGGACACTTATTTATATATTCCAAAGGTAACAAGATGAGTTCAGTTTGCAAAATGAAAATATCATTGTCTTCAACACACACCTTACTAAAATAGATTGATTTTAGGTCTGTTAACTTTTCAAAGAAAAATCACCTGTTTAAAACACTTCAAAGAAAACCTATTCATAACTGAAAATGTCACAATATTTGATATGTAAAAATAAAAAAAAGGAAATTAAATTTTTCATTTTTGAATCTTGTGTCACAGTTTACCAATCACCTCTTAAGGTACACCAATACTCATTTTTTTAATATCACAGTTTTCTTTAAAGACATGTTTTACATCTCTAATACTAAAAGATTATAAATAATAAGGGAAAAGAGATTTTTTGTTTTTTTTGGAAAACACCTATCTTCAATGCCAAAGATAATATGGTAAAGAAAATGTGAGGAGAAAAGAAATCTCTAAAGTTAGAACTGAAATGCTATTCAAATTTCAATAATTATAAACAAGTTAAATTATAAACCATTTTAATTTAAAAAAAAATTTAAATAATAACCAAGTATATGGGCTTTATAAGATGTGTAAAATTATTCACATTTGTAAAATACTTACTCTTTCAGATTATCATAAGCTTCTTCTAGAAGCGCTTTTTCTTTACTAAGAGATAATAACTGAGCTTCCCTTTTATCGAGTTTCTCATTCAGAAATTCAAGTCTCTGGATAAGGAGAATACACAAAAGTCAAACATTTAACTTTAAAAAACCATTTCTATATGCAGGTGATGGGTTAAAAACATAACCTAATCACTATAATAAAAAAAAAAGTATTAGCTCATAAAAAGAATTAAAAATAATATTGGGAACATAATAAACACAGTACAAGAACTCATAATATAGCTAGCTGGTAGGAGGACTACCACATAGCAGGTGGGAGTATTAATTAGTAAACTGCTTTGGAAAACAATCAGGCAATATCTAGTTGAAGATCTACATACCCTTTGATGTAGAAAATTCTACTTTTAGGTATGCCTTAGAAAACTCTTGCATATATACAGGAACATTTAGAGCTATTTCTAACAGCAAAAACTTGAGAACAGTGTGCATGTCCCACCAAAAGAGGAAGAGAGAGAGATGTAATCAAAAAAGATAAAAGGGCTTCAAAGCCTCTAACAATGTTCTAGGTATCTTAGCTGGGTAGTGGATATACAAACAAGTGTGTTTTTCTATATTATTCTTTAACCCAAAAATGTAACATATAATTTTTTTATGATACATTGCATTTAAAAATAAAAGTAATTTTAGAAAAACTATAGGCATGCAATTTTAAAATCTCTAAAAAAATCTGTATTAAGTAAACAAAAAGGAATGGTTAGAATATTTTATTCCTTAGGCCCTGCTGAAGCAGTGATAAACATGCATGAAGGGAGAGGAATGTGCCTTTTGCACTAAAAAAAAAAAATTCTTACCTGATTTAGGTCTAATTTAGAAATCATTTACCTTACGAAAATAGTTCAAAAATATCTTACTGATAATAAATAGTATTGGTTTCTAGAAATTCAAACTGCTAGGTGAAGCTACAGCATGGCATTTTGTTTGTGAATAATATTAAACCAAGGCAAGAAAATCTTCTTTTTCTTTAACATTAAGTAATTCAATACAGGCACTTACAGGATATTTCTTCAAGACATCCTATATCTCAGAGTTTATTAAAGATGCCAAATTCAATTCAATTTCTATATCAAAAAATCATAGGGAAAACCAAAACTGTGACTTAATGTTAGTTAAAAAATTTACACCACTTTCCTTTTATACGTATTAGGTAGAAGCAATTTGTCATTCCTAAGCAATGCCTTTGTTCACTGAACATTTCCCTTTCTGAAGATAGCTATCAAAAGAAAATATCAAAAATAATATAAAAGAGAAAAGGAAATGGGAACAAAACATCAAGAAAAACATTAGTAATTAATCTAAAAACTAAATTTTTCATTTAAGATTTGCTACAAATAACATGAACATGCAAAAAATGTTTTGATATAAGAAACCCATAAAATAGATTTGTTTTAGCTTCTCTATCTACAAAGAAGTTGAAGATATTTGTTAATATACAAAGACAGTCTTTCGCAAACTGACGAATTAATGAGCATAGTATAACAGAATTATAAGATGCTAAGGATTCAACAGCAAAAGCATAAGATGAAAGCTTTTTTAGGTTTAGTTATATTGAAATATCAACTTATGTTACTACAATAGTTGCCTTGGAGAAATTTCAAATAATTTATTATGAATAACTCTTAAATTTTAAAGTCCTTAATGCCACATTTAAATGGCAAAATACCTATTTTTTAATCAGTATAAATCATGATGCATCACTAAATATTAAAAACACATGATTTAATCTCTGAAAGCATATCCAAAATCCCCTTCGAATTTCTAGTTACCTTGCAAACATCTTCCTTCCCAAAAAGTGCTTCTGGCTGACTTTCAGTAGCTTTGCACTGCTCAGTCACCTTTTCTAAGACAGTATGTCCTTCATTTATTGGTGTAGAAGGAAACAAGATATCAGGCTGTTCACAATTAACAGGAGTTGCACTTCGTCCACTTTCTTCCATTTCGGTTTCTTCAGTGGGTATTATTAATGTTTCATTTACTTCTTGCTCAGATTTTCCTTCAACAGATTCAACTATTTTAGTCTTTGGAGTTGAAACTATAATAGGTACTAAAGCATATCCCTTGCTTGACAATTCATCATCTGAATTGATTTCACTTACACTTCGGCTATCTAATGACTGTACACTAAACGAGTCTATTCTTTCAAAAGCATCAGAAGAACAGCAACTTTCAGTGAGTTTTTGGAAATCATCTAAACGATTATATTCAGGACAAGCAGATGCTGAGAGAAGCTGAAAAGATGTCTGCATTAAGTGAAGACTTGATTTTGAATCCGTATTCTCTTGTCTCGAACTTGCTGAGCTCTCACTTATTACACTTTCATGATCTAAAACTTCAATATCACTGGTGGTAGAAGTACCTGATGAGAAGGTACTAACAGGAGGAGAAGGTGTATTGCTCTGTCTGTCTTCATGTTTTTGTTCCTTAGGTTCAGAAGCCACATCCTTTGTTTCTGCTGTAGGAGACTGTGTAGACATATTAGATACATTTTCTCCAGTCGTTTTCACATTAATTACACTCTCAGATACTTTCAAACTTATGGTTGGCATCTTTATATCAGATTCTTTATTAACAGTTTCTTCATGTTTGCCTTCAGTTTTAGATGACAGAGTATCTACTGCCAGAGTTTCCCCAGATGATACACAAAGAGAAGGGTCTTTTACTTGTGACTCAGTTGTTTCTGTTCTTCTTGACTGTCCTGTGTGCAAGGATCCCTGTAAGGTGTTTTTCACTTCTTCTTCTAGTCTCTGTGATTTAGCTGGCGGTTTTGATACCACTGGGCTCTTCTGAATGGTCTGTACATCCGTTGGAGAGAGAAAGGCACTGAAGAAAGTTTCAGATTCATCTACCACAGTTCTCTGAACTGGCTTTGTAATTGCTTTAGGAGAGGTTACTGGTTGACTCTGAGGTTCGGTCTTTGATTTTAACCCCCAGGTTGAAGTATCCCATCCTCCACTGACAGGGGGACTTACTTCTTCGACCAAAAAAATAAATAAATAAATAAATAAATAAATAAATTTAAAAAGGATATCTATTATATTATAATATAAATTAATATTATAATTTATATAAGTCAATATAAATGGTTTTTTTTAAATCTATAGAATTCAACCTATAATTTGCACCTCTTAAACTCCTTACTTACCACATAATTAATTAGTTCATGGGTTAACTTTGGGCCTTCAAGAGAGGAAGTAGTGTGGAACTGTCCAAGAGGAACTAGGAACAAAGATAAAAGACTTCTGGCCTACCAGAAGCAAGTATGTTATTCCCTCCCACAACAAATTAAGAAAGTAATGGTATCTTATAAAACCCATGCTAAGTCCAAGATATATATGATGCATTTCACAACAGACAGTATCTTCACTTACAGGTCATGTGCAGTCATGGCAAATTGTTGCTACCTTCTGATCAGAGAGTTCCATCTTAATTTTATTCTCGTAACGTCAATAAAAAATATATAGTTGAGTGCTAGACAAGAGGGCAACAATCAAAAACTGAACCTAAAATACTTCTAACAAATGTTCTTTTCCAAAGATCAAAGTAAACTGATGAGAACAGTAACTTCTCAAGGACAAATTCATTTTCATCCACTTAATGACAAGCTCATTCTCCAAGTCCCACTCTCCAAACTCACATTTTATGAGAAAGTTTTATTCTCTTCCAAAATTCCAAGTTATGTCAGCAATTAGGTCATATGAATTTCAGAAATGGGCATTTTTATTAGAATTATTGCTTTTAGAAATAATGGCAGTTTACACTAGGATTTTTAAAAATACTAAGGAGAAAATAACTTTTGTGTGGGAAAAAACAGTATCAGTCATAGAAATATACACTATTAAAAAAACCTAATGATAAAAAAATGGCATAGTCTCTAAAATATTTAAAGCATTTTTAAAAAATTCTGCCTTTTCTAAATTCAAAAGTGGCTGAGCAGAATTATCATAAGTTATGCAAAATTAGAAGCTGGTGAGGAGAGCACAAGTACCTAAAAGCTCCTAAGAGTCTATCCTTTAAAATGATTTTGGAGGTATGTAGAAAACTTCAGTTTAGAGGGGCATAATTTATATCCATTTGTTTAGTATATGAAAACAATTTTAAGAAATGTAGAAAACCAAAATTAAAGATGAAAATGAACAAGAAAGATTAAGTTGGCTAATTAGTTTAATTTATTGAGTCATCTTAAGGAACTACATGTCAAATGTTGACTCTTAGAGATATGTTTTCTATAAATCCTAGCATTATCTGATATCCACATAAATTACTTCATACTGAAGACTGATAATCTTGTAATGATGGCAATGTAAAACATAGACGATCAACAAACATTTATGGCATTTCATTAAAATTTAAGTCTATTCTGGATAACCTATTTTAAAAAATGAATTATATAGAACAATTCAAGCCCCAGGTTTCATAAAATAAGTATCCTTATATTTAAAACTTATATTGTCTCCTCTAAAGTTCAATAATTCAAATGTGGGGTATGTATGTCAAAGGAAGTTGAGCTACTCCAACAAGGTAAAAATCTTGTAAAAATAAGAGCATGACATATATACACACATAGGCCAAAATGTCTTAAAGTGAGATACCTCAAATTTAGGTACTGACTTTTTTCGACGATGTAAAATTAAAATTAAAACCCAAAAAGGAGTAGTCAAGAATAACTTACTCTTTTTCACAGAGGTCACACGCACCCCAAATCTGCAAATCTTTACCCCACACACCAATATGCTAAACTGTTCCTTAGACTTAGAGCCAAAAGCAACGGAAGATCGCTGAAAGATTAAGCTCACCTGTTTGGAAATAAACTGTGATGCAAGCCCAAAATCTTGGGCCACAGTGTCCACGGGTAGTATTTGCAGCATATTCTGCCACTTGCCCGCTGAGTGGCCTATAAGTTACTTACCCTTTCTGGGCCTCGTTTCTGTTAAACACGGATAAGAGACCCTAACTCGAGGAGCTGCTTTGCAAATGAGAAAGCCATAAAAAGCACATTACGCGCTACTAAGCACAAAATGCTCCCTTAATGTTAGCGACTGTTCCTCCTGTCCCTGATGTACTTCGGTTCTTGGCTCCAGGTCCCAAGAGTGCAGCGATTCCAGAGGGTTGTGACTGGAGCTCCGTCCAGGGAGCGCGTGGGGACAAGACCATCAAATAAAGTCCCTTTCATCTGAGGCCCGCAAAACCTGCACCCAGGGCCACAGGCAACGAGGAACATGGGGACGGATTTTCCCTCGGCAAAAGAGCGAAGACAAGTTGGAAACAAAATAAACCTGTGAGGATGCCCCGGGGAGAAATGACTTCCTCAGAACTCTCTCGTGAGGAAGGATCCCTGTATACACCCCTTCACCTGTTTGTTTACCTCAGAAGAGAAGCCTGCAGGAGCCTAAGGCTGCTCCTCTCCTTACCCGGCTCTCCGTAAGGAATGGTCTCCGCCCAGGCGCTCGGCTCCTCTTCCTGGATGTCTAGGACTCTGTCGATGGACTTCTGGGCCTGAGACAAGGCCTGCTTAGCGAAGCTGGAGAGCTGGGAGGCGTTGAACCAACTCATCTTCCCTCCTCAGCCGACAGCGGTGGCGGCAGCACCAAGCGGGAAGGTCGAGGGTCAGGCTGACTGGCGCAGGCCTGGGGAGGGGTACAACCTCGCTCCCTTCTCCACTCGACGGCTTCTGTTAGCGGGTACCCATGACCCGAAGTCTCCCCCGAAGCCGGGAGGTTACCCTCGCCCTTCCCACAAGAGACGAAGAACTGGACTGCGCATGCGCCGGCTTCTTCCACGTACACACCAACCAAATCCCGGAGCCCCGAGTTCCGTCGATAGACGGAAAAACAAGACGAACGTTGACGTCACATCCGGGAACCAAGTTGCCATTAGTTACCGAGGAACGCGGAACAATTTCTATCCACAGGTCTTCTCAGCCACCCGAAAACTGCAGTTACGAGCAGAGGCTGATTCCTTTGCGAGGAACAAACGAGTTTTCATGTGGGTTCCTTCCTAGAAAATAGCTCACGTACTAAGAGCTAGTGTCTTGCGAGCCATAGGGAAATTTGGGACTCGCATTTCTCTTACTTAGCACTTTACCTCAAATATTTAATCATTTCTATGTTAACTTGGCCTTAAGGAGGAATCTTGAGTTCCAGTTTGCCTAAAAATACTAGACATTGTATAAAAGACCTGCTCCAGCCTGATGGAAGTAAAAAGCCATCTTCTACAGTGAGTTGCAAGCTAGAATATGGGTAAAGAAGGCACGATCTTTCCCTCCCTTACAAGTCCACTCTAGGCCCCAGCCAAAACAAACCTGGGAAGCACTAATAAGCCTATTACTCAATTAATGTGTATTGTGCATATTATTTAAAATACAACTTTTGCTGTGTGTACTCCTCAAACATTTAGCTATATGAAGAAATCTAATTGGTGGTCTTCCTAATCTAGTCAGTACCTGTTTGCTTTGGCCCCTATAATGTTAAAAATAAAATTCTACCAAATTTAAAAGGCTATATTTCATATAAAAATCCAATTTCTAGCTGATTTTGAAAAATATGAATAACATGGAAGAGTCAACAGAAGTGGTTGCCCTTTTAACAAATACTTTTCATTCCAGTTTGTCACAGATCTTACTACATTCTCTTATTACACCCTTCCTGCTGTGGTTATTTACCTAACCCGTCTGTCCCTTATATTTCAACACTTTACCCCACTGCAAGGAACCAAATCATAAGGGCTTATTTTTCTTTAAAAAAAAAAAAAAAATCAGATTTAAACTCTGCCTGCCCTTATGTTCTTTAAATAATTTTATTTAACTTCAATAAAAATTTACATGTTGAAAATCTTGCAGTTTACTAAATCTACACAAGTAGCAATAAATAATTCAGGTTACTTGTTTATCTAAGTAGCTTGAGAAGGGGGTTTGGGGTAGATGAGGGTTGGAACCCCTCTTCCAAGACTTCTAATTGTACAATTGTGAGTAAATGACTTAAACTTTCTAAAACTATTCAGCTCTCTGGAGATACTGTCACCTTCTTCACAAGGGTACTTTGAGAATTATTATTGCACCTGTATAAAGAACTGAATGTTAGTTCCTTCATATTCAAAAATTTATACTGAATCTGTAACTAAATATTTTTAAGCAGAGAAATTTATCCCATATACTTTTATAATGAATCTTAAAATCATTTGTCAATATGGAGCTAGAAAGAATAATAAATGAAAATTTAACCCAATGACATGTAATCAGAGCTTCTGAATAGAAAACTGCCATCTAAGTCAACAACGAACAGTGAAAACACATACTACATGTTCCCACACTGATACTAAAACTCATTTTACAGTAATTATGCTTGATTTTGTTTTAAGCCTTACTCTATTTGGGGGGGGGGGACATTTTAAGAGACCTTAATATAAATAGTTATTCCATTTCATTACAGTATTGTTAGGCAAATTAAATCAGTAGATATTTACTGTGGCAAAAGTATTAATTCGGGGATCATTTCATAAATTATATAAATGCCTAACCAATGTTCTGTATACATGAAACTAACAATAAAATTAAATGAAAAATTTTTAATCTAAGTACAATAAAAATTGTGTATAATCCTGCTGCACATTTCAAAAGTACTACAGAACTACAGAACTATTAACTATCCTTAATATATTTTAAAAAGTTTCAGAGAGAAAAGTTGACAATATATGATTTTATTAATAAATAGTGCAAAAGCATCAGTGATAACTGTTTAAACATTAAATTTTTTAAACATCCATGTCTTGGTTTCAATGTTGTGCATATTGGCCTCTATGGCACTGTAAATAAACACATGAAAATAGTTCCCATTTCCATGCACAGGTATTCAGCTATAACACTATTTACAAATTACTATGGACAGGGTAACCTCTGCAGTAATTAATATTCGGTAGGACAGCCACAATTAAATGAATATTAAACAAGTAAGATGTAGGCTATGTTCAATATGCTCTAGATGTCGTTACAAAATTTAACGTTATTTGAAACTCAACTTTCTTATTTTCTTTAAGGGATATCTTTTGCATATGTGGGTGCTCAAATGAAAACTGAGGAATGCATTCTTTGACCATAATAACAAAATTCACATACACGAGGGTGTTTGCCTCTTCCTTGAAAAGAAGCAATACATTTGCTCATAATCTCTCTCCAGGCATTATTTACCATAATATTAATGAAAATACTTATAAGCATCAACCCCAAAATTGTGTTCAAGGGAAAGTTATAAAGTTAAAAAAGAGTGGCTCATTATATAAAAAGTCAAATTCCAGCAACACTAATGCTAAAAATGAATCAATTAAATTTCTTAGCATTCACGAAGTATATTTCCATAAGTTTTCTATTATGTGCAGATTTATTTTCCTTAAGAAGTAAAATGAAGTTTGAATAATACAGTCTGTGGCGTAGTGACATCAGCAACTGCCAGTTCTTGGCCGTCAACAAGTCCCAATTCTAAAACAGAAAAAGTAAAATTAACCCAAGCAAAAAAAAAAAAAAATCTCGAAAACGATAACAACACACACATATCCAAACTATAGAGTATTAAGGTCATGATAAATATCAAAATCCAGTTCTCTTTAATCAGGTGAATACTATATTTGACTTCTTAGAGATTTTTAAAGATTCTACTAAAAGAGCAATTAATGCCATTACTGTTTCTAAAGATATAAGTAATTATGATATCATCATTTGAGGGTATTAAGATCAAATCTAGAAGCATTTGTTACTTTCTCTAAAGAAGAAAGAGAAATTGATTAGTAAATAAATATATTCATTTAAAATACCTTTCAGTGTCTTGGAGAGATTTGGCCTTGTTCGTTCTTCAATAGAGGTTACTGACTAGAAAACAAAATACTTTTAATGTAAAGCATATTAAATGAAATTAAGTTTTTAATATAATTTTGCAAAATAAATAAAAACTGAACATTTATCACCTGTAAGTAAAGTGTTCTATTTTTTCCCTCTAATGTGGCTGTGATGGCTGGAGATTTCATCTGCCTAAATATAATTATGAAGGAAAAAAACCATCAAACATCACTTTTTAAAACACGATTCTAGTTTTTAAAGTTTTAAAATCTTAAAACTTATTCTACAACAAAACAAAAGTCCAGAACACTTACAGAGAAGCACTATTGGTTAAATAATCCAAAACCTCCTGTAGTTTAGCTGATGGAGAAAACTGAATATTTTGTGGCAGCTGGCTACAAGCTGGACAGTTTTCCTACATATATAAAACACAATAAATCACAGCAGCAGATGCACCAATAAGTCTCTTTACAACAATGAAATGAAAAGTTGTTTTATAACCATGTTTATTTCCTATAAACAAACTCTAATGCTTTAAAATCTGCTTTTCATAGGCCATTTTTCCTAAATTAGTTATATAGTTATTCCAAGCTATACTAGAAAAGATATATAATAATTAGGTTTCTGGAAGTTAGAAAATACTTAGGGTATGGGCAATTTTATTCATATTTCTAATCAGTAATTAATATTTAAAAATTAAAGTATGCATTATCAAAAAAGTTTTCAGTAGTATAATACTAACCTTCCTTTCTGCTTCAAATGTGTATGTGTACAGTCCATCTACATCATTGAATACCAAGTAGTTATTAAGGGGAATATATGCACTGTAATGAAAAAAATGTTTATCTTTAAATAATTGAGCCAGATCAAAACAGAGAAGTACATACACATTAAAAATGAAACCCATTACCTTGTGGCTATTTTAAAAACCTCAGTGGCACACACAGCTGAAGAAGGGAGAAAACAGAGGTGTTTTAACTTAATGAAAATGAGACAACTAAAATTAGTTTTTAAAAGTCAGTTGTAGATCAGAACAGATAAATTTACAAGCCTATTGATTAAAATATAGGTTAATATATAATCTTATATTTAAAAAACTGGAAAAGTTAACAAATTTTATATTTGTTTTGCATAATCCAAGTGAGGTTAATATTACATGTTTTCCTTTCTCTTCTTTGAAATAATGAGCAGACTGTCATACCAATTAAAAAGAAATGGTACTAAAATGTCACCCTACTGCAGAACACTTCATGACATAATGTTAAGACAAAATATATACAAGTTCCAATAGCTTATTCTTTTTTGACAGCTTAATTATACTATCCACCCAAGAAGTTATGAAATTCTAGAACACCAGTTTTCTGAGATCAACTGGCTAAAAAAATGTCAATTTAGATATTGAATCAAAAACTAAAGGTAAGAAACAAAATTTAAGCAGCGGCCTTTTTTCTCACCTGCAATGACTGCATTTGTGGAAGCTACCGCAGGAATGATTCGTTTTACTACTCCTGAAAAAATACACTTATTAAAACATGTTGGTGTCTTTTAAAAAGCATGTATCTTAAGTTAGACAGTATAATTATTAAATATCATTTCATAACTTGATTTGCCAGGCTTTCAAGTCACAAAATAGACTTAAATTTAAGCATGAAGTAACCTTCTTTTATATTCCCATCATTTTGTAGCATGTTCAGAAGCTTAAAGAAGTTAGAGTAGCCAAAAAAAAAAAAAAACCAACTCTTCACTAGGCTTCTTATAAAGATGAGACAATAATAGCTAACAATTAGAGTGTTTATTGTGTTCCAGGGACAGTGTGAAGATTAAATAGATATTACTGGCCCACAGTATTTTCGGTTCGCTCTACAACTTGTACTACACAAAATATTAAACACAGTTCTCTATTTTTACCCTTTTTTCATATCAGTATTCAGATTAGGAATGAATAAAGCCCCATCTTATACAATTTTTTTAAGTACAAAATAAATATTCTATAACTATACTGAATTGTTTATTTTAGAAAACAAAAACTTCAAAGAAAAGTAGCCATATTAATTATCTTGAAGTGTGAGGGAGCATTGAAAAATGTAACTTCTGGTGTAGGAAGGTTTCCAAAACTTAAGAAAAAAAGCAAATACGTGAAAGGAAGATAGTTAAGAAGTCTGGAAAGCTGTTTTTAAAATGTTAATTCTGACCATATGATTACATTTAATTTCAGAGAAGAAGAAATAGGGAGGAGCTAACCTAATGATGGTTAAACTGGAAGTTCTCCAGTGAACCACATATAGTAGGATGTACTGAAAGGAGAAACAGGTTGTCACAAAAAATGAGGATAAAAAGAGACATGGCCCAATAAGAGCATTACCAAAATAATAAAGACTCCCTCCGTCCCCCACCCTTCAAAAAAGCTGAACTTCACTTCTAATTTTGCTTCTGTACTCCTTGTCAAATCCCTCAATCATCAAGTTGTAAAGCACACACCAAGCCCTGCTCAAAGGTATGGAAGAATGAACAAGACTACATATTGAAATGAGTTTACAGTTCCTGATAAGGACGAACTGAATTCATTTAATTCAGACAATTACCAAATCTGTACTATATGCCAGACACTGTTCTAGGTGTTATGATGAGTAGCAGTGAAAAAAATGACCTGCTCTTATAGAGCTTTCATTCTGGTGAGGAGATAACACACAAGTAAATACACAGGAAAATTTCAAATATGAGGAGTTTTATGAAGAAAATAAAATGAGGTATGTGTTACAGGGTTGACAATGGTAGAAGCACTCCATTAGACTGGATGGTCAGGGGAGACCTCTTTGAGGTGATAATTTGAGCTGAAATCTAAACCATGAGAAAGATCAAGCTTTTGAAAGAGTATTTCTGTAAGCCAGGAAGGGTAAAGGTCCCAGAGCAGGGGTATGAAATATTTCTTGCATAGAAAAATGAAGCTACCATTAATTCTGAGGAATTGTAAAAAGGTAAAACAGTGAATGGTTAAGAAGTCATTTTCGGCTGAATAAGAGAACTGGTTACATTGATATCTGAGTGATAAGCAGATAGCCTTGAGGGAATTCAAGAAAGAGCAGTCCAGGCATAAGGATCAGGAGAGCTCTACAGTGGAAATGAGCTTGGTGTATTCAAGGAACACAAATCATACACCTGAAACATACTGGATTTTGTTAACCAATGTCACCATTAAAAAAAAACACAAAGCGGGTCAGAATAGGGGGAGTATAGGAACCAACAAGTAGTGTGTAAGAATGAACTTTTCAAATGACATTATTAGAATCTCAGCAAATTTATGGAAATAATCACCGAAGACAATGGCAGATTTTCAAAATGAAGACCAAGTTCTACCTTGGGAACTCTCTGATGATCGTGGACAAAATTCCAGAAAGGATAAACTGTGAGTACCTAGACTGGGAAGCACTGATCACTAACACTGAACATTATGACTGTTCACTGAGATAAGTTATGTTGGACTGTTCTCATTTAGTTACTATGACTACTTTGGCAACCCAGGGAAATGTGGAAGATAGTATATCCAAGCTACGGCACAACACCTGGAAAGGTCTTTCATGACATCCTTGTGAACAAGACAAAAAAATATGAAGTACTCAGGAAGGTCTGATCAACAAAATGAGATAAATCTAAAATTTAGGGCCAGACCAGAAGTATGTTTCAGATGTCAGTTCTCTGCCATGTCAGTCTTGTTAAATTTTTTAATTATTTGGAAAAGAGATTACAAGAATATCATCATCAAGATAATAGGTGGAATAAAACTAGAAAGAACAGATAAGTTAGCGGGCATAAAAGAATATATTAGAGAGAGAAGAGCAGGTTTTATTTAAGAGAAAATTTGTTAGGACCTATTCTTGAGTATAAAAATAACAAAACTACCGCCTCCCAAAACTGCTCTGTCTATGACAGGCAGATGTGGCTTAGCGATTGTATATGTGGAGAAAACTAGATTTTATTTTATTTTATTTATTTTTTAACATCTATAGCACCTGGTCTTCCTAGGTGATCTTCCATCCAAGTACGAACCAGGCCTGACCCTGCTTAGCTTCCGAGATCAGAAGGGATCGGGCTTGTTCAGGGTGGCATGGCCATAGACAGAAAACTAGATTTTAGTGGATAATAACCTCAAAAAAATCAAAAGTATAGTATCAAGGTAAATAACAAGCAAACAAACAAAAAACTCTGCTTTCCTCTAAGACTGAATCAATTATCAGAATTATGTGAAGGCTATTTATCTAAAATAAAACCAATCCTAGAATGCTACATTCTAGCCTAGTTAAGAGAAGTATGGATAACTGAAATATAGTTAGAGAAAAACAACATAATAGAGACTTAAAGTCATGTAACATGTCAAAGACTTAAAAGAACTAGAGAGGTTCATGGCAGTGATAAAGATATGGAAGGAATGTGATCACTGTTCTCAATATGTTAAGTGCTATTACTTAAAAGGGAATTAGATTTATATATGGTGTATCTTGGGACAAAACTCAGATCAAACTAAAGATGGAGATTTTTCCTCAATATATAAATAATTATCTAACAGTCTTGTCCAAATGTGGAACAGACTGCTCCAGGAGGTGATAAATTGCTCTTCAGTGAAGGTAAAATGAATGAGTCAACTTGGATGCATTAGGGTCTTCTTCCAACCCAAAGTAAATAAGATTCAATGATTTTATTAAAGTCTTCCTCGTAAT